CTGCTTGCCCGAAGTCCGCCAGTGGGCCAATCAGCTCCGCCAGGCCATCTGTGAAGATGCGGGCAAGCGTATCCCGTTCGAGGCGTATGTGCAGCCACCGACAGCCGCTGGCAGCGGGACTCCCGGCTTCCTGTCACACTGGGCGTTCCCCTCGGCAGAGGCGGAGTGCTTCACCGACATCCTGTATCTGGTGGCCTTCGGCCCACCCCGCCCTTCGGACCTCCTGGGAGGGGCCTCTCGGGGCCCTGTTGGTGCCCGATTTGGGCATCTCTGGGGGGCCTCCCTCCTGGAGCCTGTGGGGGGCTTCCTGGGGGCCTGCTGGCGGTCTCGGAGGCCGGCTTGTGGCGGAGAGCTCGACATGTCGGTTCGTGCTCCCCCTCTGGGGCCTCTTTTGGGCCTCTCCTGGGCCTCTCCTGGGCCTCTCTTGGGCCTCTCTTGAGGATGGGATCTCTTGGGCCGTCTTGGGGGCCTCTTGAGCCTTTTTCGGGTCCTTTGGGCTGTCGGGGGTCCTTCTCGGGGGCCCTTTGGGCAGCCTTGGAGCGTCCAAAGCCGGCAGAGGCGAGAGCGCTAGAATCTTAATTGCTCCGACGGTAGGACCCCGCACGATAGTCTTCCTCATCGTCGCTCTTCTGAATGCAGAGGCTCTCTTCCTGTGTCCGTTTTGTCCCTCGCCTTGGTGGAGGCTCTCCTTCCGCCCCCTGCTCTGTCTCCCCTCTCGTCCTCCTTCCTGCTTTTTTTTCGTCTTCCACCTCCTCCCCCGCCCCTCTTAGTCTTCCACCTCCTCCCCCGCCCCTCTTGCAGGTGCGCGCATGTCGAGTTTCCCTCGGCGCCGTCGCCGCCTCGGGTGGCAGGGGCGCGCTCTCCGACGGCCAGATCGCGAAGCCGCCGTGGGGGGCCCGACAGGGAAAGGGGGCTCCCGCGCGAGACTTCCTCGCGAGACGCTCACAGACGAGGGAGGAGGAGGAGGAGGAGGAGGAGGAGGAGGAGGAGGAGGAGGAGGAGGAGGAGGAGGAGGAGGAGGCTCTGGCTCGAGACGTCCTCACGATGTGCCCCCTTCGGGGTGCTCCAGTGCGATGTCTGCTGCAGTATGCCGACGACCGCCTCGGATTACTGGAGTAAGGCGCGGGCCGCCTGGGAGAGGTGCTCCAGCTCGAGACGTCCTCGAGATTCACTGGCGGCCGGGACTCCTGCTCGAGACACATGCAGGGTTTGGGTGGTCCGTTCGGGTTCCAGCGTGGAGGTAGGGACCCCATATGGGGGGGGGTCCTGCTCGAGTATTTGCGATTCACTCAAGACGAGGCTCCCGCGTGAGACTTCCTTTTAGATTTCGCCCTGGGGAGCCCAAAAGTGACGGCAGTCACGTTGTTTGGATGGCCTCGCTCGGCTTCCAACATGGAAGCGGGGACCCCATAGGGAGAGGGCTCTCGTTCGAGGCTCCCCCGCGATTCGCACGCACGAGGCTCCCGATCGAGATTTCTTGTAGGTTCAGGCGCCAAGAGCCTAACAGTTGCAGGGTTTGGATGGGAGGGGCTCCCTCTCGAGACTCCTTCGCGAGCCACTCACAGACGAGGACCCCGCATGATACTATTTGATCTCATTCAGGATGAATCAGGCCTGAAGGGCCTAAAGGTAGTTCGATCTTGTTCAAGACGAATCAGGCCTGAAGGGCCTAAAAGTAACGACAGTCACACGGCTTGGGCGACCTGTTCGGGTTCCATCGTGGAGGTGGGGACCCCATTCCCAGACATGCGACGTCCGGATTTTTTCAGGACGGCGTCCCCGGAAGTCCAGACCCTTTCCCCGGGGCCGGTTTTTTCATCCCGAGTCGTTTTTGGACGGTCCTGGGGCCCGGCGAGGGCCTCTAGGGGTCGAAACTAGCGAAAAACACCCCGTCCTGTTTTTTTCCCAGAAAGGGCATAGGCCCAGGGTTCTCTTTTAGTTGGTTTTCCCCCGGAACCGACGGCTGTAGGGCCGGCGAATTTCTTTTGCGATAAATAACGAGGTCGCGTAGGGCCGGCGAATTAAACATTGAGGATGTCCCTAGCGAAACGCTTGTTTTTCAGGATTTGTTGAGGATGTCTCGAGCGAAACGCTTGTTTTGTGTTATAGATTGTCCTCTCCTGGGGACCCGAATTCTGAGGATCTCTCAAGTGAAATGCTTGTTTTCACGTGCCCAGGTCTTGAGGATGTTTCGAGCGAGACGCTTGGTTTCACGCCTCCAGGTTGCCCAGACAGATGTCTAGCATGAGGCTTTGTTGAGGATGTCTCGAACCAGAGGCTTGGTTTCACGTTTCCAGGTCGCCCAGGCGGACGTCTAGCATGAGGATGTGTCGAGGAAGTCTCGATCGAAACGCTTGTTTGCACGTGTCCAGGTTGCCCAGGCGGATATCTAGCATGAGGATGTGTTGAGAACGTCTTGAGCGAAACGCGTGTTTTCACGTGTCCAGGTTGCCCAGGCACAGCACAGCCCTCGGCACGGTACATTCATATCGATACCCTTAGCATTGCAGCCTGGCATGTTGCTTGGCACGTTCCGCGGAGCGGCACATCGCGCGGTGCACGTCCATTGGCACGTTCCGTAGCGCGTCCCCTTGGCACGTCCCGCGGTGCGTGCTCATGGCACGTCCCCTGGCACGTCGCCTGGCGCATCCCTTGGGACGTTCCGCGGCGCGTCCTCCTGGCATGTCCCCCTGTCGATTAGTTCTTGGACAGCTACCATCTGCTCAGGCAGCTCGAGCTTAAGATTCAGATCAGTTCGGTCAGGACTCGGACGCAAAGAGGACTCGATCCACAACGCTATATATATATAGAGCACGGTCGCGGCATGGCACATCGCAGTTCAGCACGGCCCAGCACAGCACAGCCGTCGGCATTGTCCATCAAGATCGATACACTCAACATTGCACCTTGGCACGTTCCTTGGTGCGTTCCGTGGTGAGTCCACCTGGCACTTCGCGCGGCGCGTCCCCTGGCACGTCCCGCGGCACGTCCTTGGCACGTCCCGTAGCGCGTCCCCTTGGCACGTCCTGCGGTGCGTGCCCATGGCACGTCCCCTGGCACGTCGCCTGGCGCGTCCCTTGGGACGTTCCGCGGCGCGTCCTCCTGGCATGTCCCCTCTGTTGGTTAGTTCTGGGGCAGCTACCATCTGCTCAGGCAGCTCGAGCTTACGATCCAGATCAGTTCGGTGAGGACTCGGATGCCAGGGAGGACTCGATCCACAACGCCATATAGAGCACAATCGCGGCATGGCACATCGCAATTCAGCACGGCACAGCACAGCACAGCCCTCGGCACGGTACATCAAGGTCGATACACTAAGCATTGCATTTGCCCGTCGCCCAATCAGGTGTCTTTGAAAACGCTGCCATGTGTTACAGTTCTATATTCCTTTCCGGGTCCGTGGGTCGATCATGTTTTAACGATGCCATCATGTCTGGGTTCGTAGGGACGTCCGCTCGAGGCTTCCCCGCGACCCGCGGACACTACGAGGCTCCCGCCCGCGGACTCCCTCGCACTCCGGCGCCCGAGGAGTCCGCGGTGGGGCCGCCGTCGCACGGCCTGGAGGGCCCCGCTCGGCTTCCAGCTCGGAAGCGGGGACCCCATAGGGTTATGTCGGGCGTGTCCCCCTACAGGGGGATTCTCGACGAAAATAAAAACACCCCCCGAAAATACCCCCAAAAGGTCCAACAATGTTCAAAAAATAGTCCCCAGACTATTTTTGGATCATTTTTGGATTATGTTTGGGGTCTTTTTTATTTTTCGTCGAAAGTCCCCCTGTAGGGGGACAGGCCCGACTTAACCATAGGGAGGGATTCCCGCTCGAGACATCCCCGCGGTTCACCCCCAGAATCTCACATGCGAGGCTTCCGCTCGAGGCGTCCTCCGCCCACATTCAGGCCGGCGGAGCCCCAACATGGTGACGGCTAGAGGATTTGGATGACCCGCTCGGATTGCCAACGTGAGGCGAGAACCCCAAAGGGAGGGGCTCCCGCTTGAGACATTGCAATTCACTCACAGGCGAAATTCCCCTTCATGACATCCTGCAAATTCAGGCCTGAGGAGCCCAACTGTGACGGCTGTTGCAGGATTTGGATGACCCGCTCGTATTGCCAACGCGAGGCGGGGACCCCATAGGGAGTGGGCTCCCGCTCGAGACTTCCTCGCGAGTGCTCACGGACTTCTTCCATACTGACAGCGATGTGGCGATGCTGGTGATGATGCTGACGATGATGCTGATGGTGATGACGATGCTGATCTGCTGCTGCTGATGATGTTGATGTTGCTGATGCTGATGATATTGATGTTGATGTTGTTGATGACGATGAGGATGTTGCTGATGCTGATGATTATGATGATGCTGCTGATGCTGATGTTGATGCTGATTATGATATTGCTGGTGATGAGGTTGAGGTTTATGATGGTGAGGGCGATGAGGATGATAATGATGATGTGATGGTCATGATGATTGTGCTGATATTGATGATGCTGATGATGGGGATGATGACGAGTTTTTTTATGCTGTTCTTGATTACGATGACGACTATGACGGTGGTGATGATGTTGATGATGCTGATGATGGTGATGATGCTGATGGTGATGATGATGCTGATGATGCTGATGATGCTGATGATGATGAGGATGATGATGATTATGATGACCGTGATGTGTGTGAAAGAAGAATAAGTAGAGGAAATAGTGTATGAGGTGAGGCCTACGCGGGGTGTCCAGGGAAAATAAGAACCCCATTCAGGATGTGGGGAAGAGTCCATGGGTAAAGCAACAATGTTTGCCTCTCTGGGCCCTCTTGGAGGTGGCCCCTTGGGGCCCTCTTGGAGCGTCCTGGGGACCTCTTTAGTTGTCTGGAGGCCGTATTGGGCGTCTTGGAGCGCTCTTGGGCTGACTCTGAGGCCTCTTGGACCGTCTTCGGGAGAGTGCCCGCGAGCGCCCAGAGGACACTCCAGCTCGCGCCTCAAGGCACAGCGGCGGATCAGGGCTGCCATCCAGTGCAGAGTGCGCAGCGCATCGAGCAGTACTTGCAGCACCTCTTGCGCATGGGCGCTCCAGGCACCCCTGGCGGACGGGGTCAGCAGCACGGCAAGGGCCAGTCGCAGAAAGGAAGTCTTCGGCAGGGCCAGGCCCAAAGCAAAGTTGCCAAAAGTAATTGCGTGCCTCGGGGAGGTCATCAGGCAAAGGGTGGACACGCGGCCAGCTCAGGCAGCACTGCGTGCGCCATGGAGTCTGAGGCAGAGGGCGCTTCCGCTTGGAGCTTCTGCCCAAGGGAGGTCGCGATGGACTGGGGTGCCTTCGCAGGCATGCAGCTGTACGTGGTTGCTGCATCATCTCCGCAGCTGCTTGACATCTTTTCGCAGGATGTTGCTGGACTCGCCCCACCCTCGGAGCTCGCTGACAGAAGTGAATTGGACGGTCAGGCCGCTGCTGTCTTGCAGTACTACTTCAATCCAGCGCAGCCGCATGCTCGGCCTCCCCCGCACATCATTATGCGCAGCATGCTGCCAGCCACCTCCGAGGACGGCATGATCTGCAAAAAGCTCAATGCATGCAATCGCTCCGCTCACTCCGCGGGGGCGGTTTCGGAAACTCGTGGGTTCTTTTGGGTTATCTTGGGGGCCTCCGGGGGCCTCTTGGAGAGGTTTTGGGGGCCTCTAGGGTCCTCTTGGGTACCATCTGGCAGTCTCGGATCTCGGAGGCCATCTTTGGGAGAAGGGCCCGACATGTGAATTCGGATTATCCTTCTTGGGGCTCTTGGAAGCGTCGGGAGCCCTCTTGGGGGGCCTCTTGTGCCGTCTTGGGGCCTTCTCCGACAGTTTTTGGGCAGTCCTGGGAGCCTTTTGGGCTGTCTTGGTTGAGGCCTCTTGGGCTGTTCGCGGCAACCGAAAGCTCGACAAGGCAGTGACTTCCAAAGCGGATGGGAAATACATGAAATTGAGCCTTTGGGAGCTCCATTGGGGCTGTCTGGGACAACTTGGGGCTATCTTGAGGCTTTCCCGAGACTGTCTTTGGGCCATCTTGGGGCCTTCCTTGGGGCCCCTTCGAGCGCACCTGGGGCGATCTCGAGAGCCGGAAGATCACCCCTGGGGAGCCCTGGCATCCGCGACTGGGGCCTCCCAGGGTCATTGTCGACCCGGGACGATCACGGGCCGCCACGCGCGTGCGAACCAGCAGAATCAGAGCATCTGCTCGGGGTCTCAGCACGCCTTCGGCCCATTGGAGGTAGACCGTTTTTTCCCGGAAAGGGCATCGGCCCAGGGTTCTCTTTTAGTAGGTAAACCTGTCCCCCGGTGCCTGCTTGAGGGAGGCCGGCGAATTTTTTCCCTGATAAATAACGAGGTCGAAGGAGGCCGGCGAATTAAAATTTGAGGATGTCTCGAGCGAAACGCTTGTTCCCGGAAAGGGCATGAGCCCAGGGTTCTCTTTTAGTGGGTAAACCTGTCCCCCGGTGCCAACTTGAAGGAGGCCGGCGAATTTTTTCCCTGATAAATAACGAGGTCGAAGGAGGCCGGCGAATTAAAATTTGAGGATGTCTCGAGCGAAACGCTTGTTTTTGAAATCCCGATCGATAAATCACAGGGTGCGGGCCACTTTTTCGTGTGTTGAGGATGTCTCGAGCGAAACGCTTGCTCCGCAGAGTTTGCCGAGGATGTCTCGAGCGAAACGCTTGTTTTGCAGAGCCGACCGCGACGCGGAAAAGCGCCCCGCGCGAAGGAATTTCGATGATGTCTCGACTAATTCCTTTGTTTTTGTACGATTTCCTGGAATTTTGGCAGGATGTCTCGAGCGAAATGCACGACCCCACCCTAGCACGACCATACCCCAGCACGACCACACCCCAGCACGACCAGACCCCAGCACGACCCCACCCCAGCACGACCCCACCCCAGCACGACCATACCCCAGCACGACCACACCCCAGCACGACCCGACCCCAGCACGACCCTACCCCAGCAAGACCACACCCCAGCACGACCACACCCCAGCACGACCCACCACAGCACGACCCACCCCAGCACGACGCCCCACGCCCCAGCACGACCACGCCCCAGCACGACCACGCCCCAGCACGCCCCAGCACGACCACCCCCCAGCACGACCACCCCAGCACGACCACCCCAGCACGACCCACCCCAGCACGACCCCGCACGACCCCACCCCAGCACGACCACGCCCCAGCACGACCACACCCCAGCACGACCACACCCCAGCACGACCACACCCCAGCACGACCCCACCCCAGCACGACCCCACCCTAGCACGACCACACCCCAGCACGACCACACCCCAGAACGACCACACCCCAGCACGACCCCACCCAAGCACGACCCCACCCCAGCACGACCACACCCCAGCACGACCACACCCCAGCAGGACCCCACCCCAGCACGACCCCACCCCAGCAAGACCACACCCCAGCACGACCACACCCCAGCACGACCTCACCACAGCACGACCACACCCCAGCACGACCACGCCCCAGCACGACCACGCCCCAGCACGACCACGCCCCAGCACGACCACCCCCAGCACGACCACCCCCCCAGCACGACCACCCCCCAGCACGACCACCCCCCAGCACGACCACACCCCAGCACGACCACCCCAGCACGACCACACCCCAGCACGACCACACCGCCTTGGTTGATGTTTCGTGGGGTGTCTCGTGGAATGTTTCGCGGGGTGTCTCGTGGAATGTTTCGTGAGGTGTCTCGTGGAATGTTTCGTGAGGTGTCTCGTGGGATGTTTCGTGAAGTGTCTCGTGGGATGTTTCGTGAGGTGTTGCCCAGTTGGGTATCGTGAAAACGTGTCCATGCTCCACATGTCTATATCCCTTTCCGGGTTCGTGGGTCCATCATGTTTTTTGAATCGGCGATAGCCCGGGTTATCCGGGGGGGGGGGGGGGAGGCGGGGGGCGGCCGAGAACCTGGCCTTCGCGCTGTGGGCAGCCCTGCATCTGCCCGCGCCCCCCCCTCCCGCGGACCTGCGCAGCCGGCAAGGTTGGGTCATCCTGGGGTGGGGGGAGGGGGGGCAAACCCGATAACCCGGATGATCGCCCGACCCTAAAAAAGGCAATCTCTTGGGCCGGCGAGTTCTTTGGTCACGAGTTTCACTCTGCAGGGATGGCACCATCCCAAGGCATGATTTGGTATCGTTCCAAGTCGCTGATCAGTCGGTCGGCGAGTGCCCTCGATGCTGGCCTCCTGCGCAAGATGCAAGGCAGCAGGCCTGCGGGGCTCTCACTCTGGAACTTACGTGGGTCTTCCACGATCTGCGTCAGCTCCCAGGCAGAAGATGGCCTCGCAGAGATGAGCGAGCTCATCAAGAGCAGCTTGAAGGACTGCGAGCACGCGGAGGTTAGCGAGCTCGAGCAGGAGGTCGACGTCCAGCGCAAGATGCATGACGCTTTCGAGAAGATCTTGGACGGCCTGGAGCTCGCCGAGGCAGACATGAACGATCTGGAGCATCGCGGCTTGCTCGAGCATCAAATCAAGCAGGTGGGATTCAAGACCTGGCCAGGCGGGTCGATGTCGGTGCCGACCATGGGGGCGTGGCGGTGGGGTCTCGGAGGGCAGGTCCGCGTCTACGTCCAGCCCTCACTCTTGATCCCAGCTCGGAATCCAGAGGGCCTGATCACAGGCTTGCACAACAAGCCCCATCGAAAGAGGGGCAATGATGCTTCGAAGTACATGTGGGTGAGCGTGCAGAAATCGTTCAAGTTGCACACTGGCGGCTCGCCCTTGTTCTGCTGTTGGTATGACTGGAGCCCAGCGAGCACGGTAGCGTTGATTGAAGGCGGTCTGAAGGCATACGTCTTCGCACACCTGGCAGGCCGCATGAAGGTCATCGGAGCCGTTGGTGGACAGTTTTGGCAAAGTCCGTCCGAGTTGCTTCATGCTCTGGCTCGCTTCGAAGCTACACGTGTGGTGCTTTTCCCAGATGCTGGATCCACCCGGAACAAGTGTGTGATCTTGGACTACTTCCGGACCTTTCGTCTGCTGCGCAGCTGGGGCTTCCAGGTTGGCGTGGCGTGGTGGGGCCAGCATGACAAGCAGGGGGATGCAGACGCAGACGACCTCCTGGTGGGCATGCGGATCGAGGAGTTCGAGGCCAGGATGGTGGTCTTGAGCATACAGGATTTTTGGCACCAGGTCGATGGGAATCTACAGCACCAGTTGTTGCATAGCCGTCATTTCGAGGTTTTCTCTGCTGTTGGAATTAGGTCCTCCTCTGCGCTTGCTATCACTCCTCTGGTTTGAAGTGCGGCATGTCGGGGCAATGTCCTGTTGACCACATGCGCCCGCTTCAAGGCGGCCTGATCAGCTGGCTTGCGCCGGTCATGACGATGCAGGATTTGGCCTTCCTTCTTTCTTGCTGTGCTTGGCACCCGACTTCGCAATGCCGAGCTGGACAGCAGCACGCAGTGTGCACAGTGGTGAGACAATCACCAGTCACGATGATCAAGTCTAAGCGGCTTCACTTATCTCCGGAGTACTTGCAGTTGCATGTCGTCATGACTAGTGGCAGCTCCGAGGACGAACAGGCAAAGGAAGACTAAGCTCACGACTTCAGTTTTAGCCCGACGATGTTTTGAGATGCCTGTCCAACGCGCTGACATTAGCCAGGCGTTTACGAATCTTGAGATCATGATGGATGATGGATACCAGGCCGAACCCTACTTCTCTACATCTCTCACCCTCTGACGTCATAACGGCAATTTTCGGTGTTGCATTTAACGTCGGGAATCTAGCCCAGGGCCACTGCTTTTGTCTTCTGGCAGGCAATTCTTGCCCGTCTCCTTTCTCCTCCTCGTCCTTCTCCTTCTCCTTCCTCGCTCCCGTCTTCGTCTCCCTGTGGCTGCCCATGATTCTTAGGAGCGGACGATTCCCGAGTATGGCTTGGCGTCGGTGCTATCGCATATCTCTTCAGTTTTGTTGTCGGTTGTTCCGTGGAGTAGCCCGGATTCCCACCTTGAGGACGTGCGAGTTAATTTGATGCTTCGCCGCGAAAAAAAGCGGGGATTCCTGCCCAATCGTTCCCTTTGGGGGGAGGGGGGGGATCAGCTGACCCAGGTATCCAAAGCCTCAGAGCAGCTCCTTACGCTCAGGCGATCGCAAACATGGATCAAGGGGGCGTGGATTAGCGACGGGTCCCGCTTCCACGGGACATCGCGGAGTTCCGCCGCCGAGCGAGGCGGCACCGGCCGCATTTTGGGGAGCTCATCCATGTTTGCGCGCCCCCGACACGCGCAGGCGGTGTGGGGAGTCGCTGGAGCTACCTGTACGCGCGAGGCGGCGCTGGCTGCTCTGCCCTCGGCCCCCCTTGCGGAATCACTCGCCGTGCGGTGCGGGTCGCCTGGGAGCCGCGGCGAACCATTCTTTGCGCCAGCTGGGCGTGAATCCAGGCTCGCCGCTGGCTGCACATGGGGGTGGGTGGGTTGCTGGGTCACTGCCGCCGTCGGTGGCGGGAGCCACGCCGTCCTGGAGCGCACTCGTTCGGCCGGGCGCAGGCGGAGGGGAGGCTCCTTCGGAGCACCCCTGCCTCTCAGAAGGCGCGGGCCTTGTCCACGGATGCCAGGCCGACGCCTCCGAAGCAGCCTCCTTCCAAGAGGCCTCCCCCCTCCCCCGTGCCGCCCCGTGCGCGCCGCCAAGCCATGGGAGGCCAGGCCGACGCCTCCGAAGCAGCCTCCTTCTGAGAGGCCTCCCCCCTCCCCCATGCCGCCCCGTGCGCGCCGCCAAGCCATGGGAGGCCAGGCCGACGCCTCCGAAGCAGCCTCCTTCCAAGAGGCCTCCCCCCTCCCCCATGCCGCCCCGTGCGCGCCGCCACGCCATGGGAGGCCAGGCCGACGCCTCCGAAGCAGCCTCCTTCCAAGAGGCCTCCCCCCTCCCCCATGCCGCCCCGTGCGCGCCGCCAAGCCATGGGAGGCCAGGCCGACGCCTCCGAAGCAGCCTCCTTCCAAGAGGCCTCCCCCCTCCCCCATGCCGCCCCGTGCGCGCCGCCGAGCCACGGGAGCCCCCCGTTGGCCTATCCTGGTCCTCGGCCCAGCCCGGGCTGCCCAGGCCTCTCCCTCCCGGTCCTTCTCCTCCTCCTCCTCCTCCTCCTCCTCCTCCTCCTCCTCCTTTTTTCCTTCCTTCTTGCTCCTCCTCCCTCCTCCCTCCTCCTCCTCCTCCTCCTCCTCCTCCTCCTCCTCCTCCTCCTCCTTTCCTCCTCCCCCCTCCTCCCGCCCAGTCCTTCCTCCCGGTCCTCCCTCCGCGGCCGCTGTCCTGGACTTCCCTCCTCGGCCTCCTGGCCCTCTCTCTCCTGGGCCTCTCCGATCCGGTCCTGGGCCTCCTTCGCTTCCCCTGTGCTGGCAGAAGCCCAGACATGCTCGCGTCGCAATAAAAACAGAGGTTTTTCGCTGTTTTCGGCCTCTGGAGGCCCTTTGCCAGGTCCCGGGCCCGCATGTCGCATGTCTGGGAGGGGATCTTTGCAGAGAGCTTCCTGGTCCTCTGTCCCCGCGGCCTCTTGCGACGAGAAGTCCTGCTCTCAGCTGCCGCGCCGGTGCCCCAAGGCGTCATCGCACTCGGAGCTCTTCGGTGGCCTCCCCAGAAAGCTCTGGATTCTCCATGGGGCCATCTTGGGGCCATCTTGGAGGCAGTTTTGGGCCATCGTGGAGGACATGTTGGGCTATCAGCTATCAGTGGAGGCCATCTTGGGCTATCTTGAGTCACCTTGGACGGTCTTAGGGGCAATCTCTCGCAATCTCGCGCTACATTACTTGCTGACCGTCCGTCCGTGCGTCATGGGCATTCCCCTCTAAACATCCCCGGCGCTCAAGCTGCCCGTCTGTCCGTGCCCCCTCGTGACCTCCTGGGCACCGAAGAAGACAATAAATCAGACATTTACGTTTCGCCACCGCCCACCAATTTCTTCAGTTGAAGTCGCCCAGTCAGTTTGCTGTTTCTCCCCAAGCAGTGCTTGCACTTAGGGATTCTTTTTTCCCGGAAAGGGCTCGAGCCCAGGGTTCTCTTTTAGCTGTTTACCCCCGGATTCGACGGCTGTAGGGCCGGCGAAATTATTCTGCGATAAATTACGTGCGGGAGTAGGGCCGGCGAAATTATTTTTGAGGATGTCTCTAGCGAAACGCTTGTTTTTCAGAATTTGTTGAGGATGTCTCGAGCGAAACGCTGGTTTTGCAGAGTTGGGGATGTCTCGAGCGAAACGCTTGTTTTCAGAATTTGTTGAGGATGTCTCGAGCGAAACGCTGGTTTTGCAGAGCCGACCGCGACGCGCAAAAGCGCCCCGCGCGCAGGAATTCCGATGATGTTTTGCGCGTGCCGCGTCCCGTGCGCAGGAATTTCGAGGATGTCTCGACTAATTTTGGACTCCAGGCGCCTCTGGGCGTTCCTGGGCCCTCCTGCGCTCCAGACGACCGCATGTTAGATATCCCCCCTGGGTGGGCTGGACCACGTGTTTTTACGTGTGCAGGCCACCCAGGTTGTATGTAACATGGTGGTCACGAGCTGGAACCATATGTTTTTACGCGTCCAGGCCACCCACGGGGATATCTAACATGGTTGTCCCGAGCTTGAACCATCTGTTTTTACGTATCCAGGCCACCCAGGGGGTATCTAAAATGATTGTTCTGAGCAAGGACCACGTGTTGTAACGAGTCCAGGCTACCCAGGGGTGTATATAGCTTGGTTTCCCGAGCTGGCACCATGTGTTTTTAAGTGTCCAGGCCATCCAGGGGGATGTCTAACATGGTTGCCCCGAGCAAGGACCACGCATTTTAACGTTCCGTAGCGCGTCCCCTCGGCACGTCCCGCGGTGCGTCCCCGTGGCACGTCCCCTGGCACGTCGCCTGGCGCGTCCCTTGGGACGTTCCGCGGCGCATCCTCCTGGCATGTTCCCCTGTGAATTAGCTCTGGGGCAGCTACTATGTGCTGAGGCAGCTCGAGCTTAAGATCCAGATCAGTTCGGTCAGGACTCGGATGCAAATGAGGACTCGATCCACAACGCTATAGAGCACAATCGCGGCATGGCACATCGCAGTTCAGCACAGCGCAGCACAGCACAGCCCTCGTACATCAAGATCGATCCTTTCAGCATTACAACCTGGCACGTTCCGTGGCGCGTCCCGTGGCGTGTCCCCCTGGCACGTCGCGCGGCGCGTCCCCTGGCACGTCCCGTGGCGCGTGCATTGGCACGTTCCGTAGCGCGTCCCCTCGGCACGTCCCGCGGTGCGTCTTCGTGGCATGTCCCTTGGCACGTCGCCTGGCGCGTCCCTTGGGACGTTCCGCGGCGCGTCCTCCTGGCATGTTCCCTTGTCAATTAGCTCTGGGCAGCTACTTTGTGCTGAGGCAGCTCGAGCTTAAGATCCAGATCAGTTCGGTCAGGACTCGGATGCAAAGGAGGACTCGATCCTCAACGCTATAGAGCACAATCGCGGCATTGCACATCGCAATGCAGCACGGCGCTGCACAGCACAGCCCTCGGCACGGTACATCAAGATCGATCCTTTCAGCATTGCGTTTGGCCGTCGCCCAATCCAGTGTCTTTGAAACGTTGCTATGCCTTACATTTCTATATTCCTTTCCGGGTTCGTGGGTCGATCATGTTTGTTCCTAAGGAACTGGGCCTATCTGTCAGTGTGGCGGCTATGTTGCCGTTGTCGCCGCGTCGACGCCGCCTCGTCGCCGCCCGTCGTCTGGGCCCGTCTCTCGATCGCCGCGCTTGTTGCCGCCGTCGCCGCCCCGTCGCCGCCCCTCATTGTTTCTCTTTCTGAAGAAAGATTAGGATACCCCCCCCCTGGGGTGAACGGGCCATTTCTTTGTATTGCAAGCGCTTCCTAGGCTTCGTACGGACTTCGAAAACGAGTGTCCCGAAAACATATCAAAACACATGGTTCGGCAACATCCGTTTTCAACAAATCCTGCGCTCGCGGTCGTGCGTGTTCTTAAGAAAACCATAGGCTTCCATGATTTTTAATATAATTCTGCCAAGCGGGCCTCTCGCGCCGCATGTCGAACTCATTCGGACGCCTTGCGCGCTTGGGTGTGTGTGGCACGATCCGTGTCAAAGAATACAACACGGGCCACTCGCGCGCGTCGGCCGCGCGCGCATGTTGAGCTCCTTGAAAAACCTTCGTCGCCGGCGCGAGGACATCGTCATCGTTATCGGAGGGCGTGGTTGACATCGGCGCCGTCATTGACCTCTCCGCCGGTATCACCACTATCGTCACCACCATCGCTGCTCTCGTACAGTCGGGGCGTTGACCTAAGGAACCCTAAATAAGGAACGAGGCCCCTTTTTCCATAAGTTAACCTTCGATTTCCTGCCGAAAACATAAGGAAAGCCTGAGGCAAGCTGTGAAACATTTAAGGAACGCGGAGCCCCTCCCCAACGAAAAAGGTTCCTTGTTCAGGGCCCCGACTGTTGGTGTCGCCTTGAGTCTACGGTTGTCGGTGTCGCCATGATACCGCGCCCGCCCAAATCGCCGCCTCGCACTGAAGTGCCCGCTGGAAAGTGCCTGGCTGTCAGCGCCACCGCGGCCGCGTCGGTCGCGCCAAATTGGCTGACCGCTGTGCGCGCGAACATGCGCGGGCTAGCGCGGCCGCAGAGGTGCACCAGCCAACGCCAAGCAGTCATCGCAATCGCAGCCGCGTGAGGTTTGCAAAGCAGGTTGCGGGTGGGTGGGATGATTGCGCGAGCAGTGGAGTTGACAACTGCCAGTTCTACAAGTGAGTTCTCTTTTCTAAAGAGAGATAGGTTTTACCACCTTCCCCCCCAGGGTTAAAGACCCCCCCGGGAACCGATGCAAAACACATAGGATTCTGACCCAATGTCCATCCTACCTGTGAATTCGTACAATCCCAGCCAGGGCGGTATCGGCCCCCTCAGCCATTCTCTGCAACAAAGAATATTATCCCAGTGCGACCCTACCTAGGAGTTGGAGCCCCTAGGAAAGCAGCATTAGTAGTAACGGTAAACGCCGTCCTCCTCCTTCTCCTCATCGTCGTAGTTGCCTTTGTT